CCAAAGGATTTGTAATTTTATTCAGCTAGACAGACAGACAGCAGAGCTACTGGACCTCCTTGAAGACTACACTAAAGTTGTGCAGGAGAGAAGTATAAACACAAATAATGGCAAAAATATTTGAGTTGTTAAAAGGTAAAGCAGACTGGGCATACACTGCCATCACAATCCCTGCTATTTATACTGGGCTTTGCCTTCATGTCCAGAAACCTTTCTTTACCAATTGTACACTTGTAACACTGCAAAAAATGTAAAAAAATTCAAAAACATATTGCAAAAGAAAAAAAAGCAGTGCACTGTCTGGTGTGTAAGGGTGCCTGCAGCTGTATATCTGCAGTGTGAAATCTAGGGCTAGTTTACACCATAACTGCATCAGAACTGTGTGCGTCTGTACATCTGCAGTGCGATGCATTTTGCCACGTTTTTACAGCGATTTTGACACGTTTTTTGTTTAAGCTTAAAATGGCCTTTCAAGTGCATTCCAGTGCGTTTGCATGCATTTTTGATGCGTTTCGTTGCGATCAGGTGCAGCTAAAATGGGGCAAGTAGGATTTTTTCTGACTGCATTGGATCTGACTGTACTGGTGTAAACAGAGCACCAGAAATCCCATTGGGAAGCATTGTGACGTGATCTTGATGCAGTTGCCAAACTGAACAGACTGCATCACAACTGCATCTGGTGTGAACTAATCCTAGGGCACTGCTGCCTGCTGACTACTAGTCTCAGAAGATTTGGAGTGAGGTTTGGGGATTTCACTACTATTCTGCACACTGTTCTCCTTGTTGGGGTTTCTAATATAAGAAAAAAAGCCATGTCTCTACCAAGATGGCCACCTCCATACAGAGACACAGTACAGAACAAGGCATAGTAAGTCAATAGCACGATCAGCTGCAGAGAGATCACAAGCAATATTAGTGATTAGCCATTTGCTCTCTGCTTGCCTTTTTCTGGTTGAATGATGAATCAGCATGGAATTGTCTATAGTGGGTTTAATCATACCTAGCTTTTTTAAACTCCTCACAGCGAGGGTAATGTCACACTTAGGTCTAAAATCCTCCATGGTTGCATGAAGTGTACATGAATCAATTGTGAACATAACAGTAGAACATAGGATACATTTGCAGTACTGTGAGAGCTGCTTGGCTCAGGTGTATGGAAGTAGTTTCTTAACTATAGCCATAACCGTCCACACAGCTACTAGGAGGCTTGGTGGTGGGAAGAGGACCCCATTTGGGAGGCTGTTGAGGAAAGTTAAACATGACACAAACACAAAACTTTTCACCCTCTTTATATGACTACCATAGATCCTGTTTGTACAACAAATGAAAAACAATGTGACTACATCCAATATACAATCTAAATTATATTTATTTTTCATATAACATAGCCATAAAACAAATCTTAAAATCATTTACGATTGCTAAATCATGCATTGTCAACACCAGTCACTAAAAATAACATAAGAAAACATAAGCAAATAAATTCTCTATATTCTATATAAACATGTGCAAAAAATGTATATAATCTAGATTCTGGGTTACAAGAAATATCAATGAAAACAATCTTGAAATTTGCTTCCACTAACTCAACTTCCACTTCCATCTCCTTCTGATGAACTGGAGCTGAAACCTCCTTAGGAAGGAAGAAGAGTATCCCTGTGTAAGACCAGAAAAGGCTCTCTACAGGACAAAACTGCCAGCTAAGACATGCACCTTGAAGAGGTGACAGCAACCTTGCGAAAGAGAGTGGAAAAAGGAATACCGTTGCTAGTTTCGAAAGGTGGTTATTGAAGAGCCGAGAGAACAGATTCAGATCCCACAGAGTCACAGGGGAGCATACAGGGGGAGCCAGGGGCGTATCTGCCGCGAGGCAAACAAGGCATTTGCCTCGGGCGACAGATTCTGGCCGAGCGGCGAATCTACCGG